GGGTTGGGGGGAAGTACCGGGGATTGAACTCAGGGGCACTTCACTCCTGAACCACATCCCCAACCCTTATTTGAATTTTATTTAGAAACAGGGTTTCACTGAGTTTAGTACCTCCCTTTTTGCTTAGGTTGGCTTTGAACTTGCCATCCCCCCTGCCTCAGCCTCATGAGCCACGGGGATTACAGGTTTGCACCACCATGCCCAGCTCCTGATATTTTTAATGTATAAACACACACACACACACACACACACACACACACACACACACACACACACACTCACACATACCAGTAATAGTAATAGTAGTAATAATAACAACAGAAACTGTTTTTCTATGTGAAATGAGAGAGCTCATCAGGCTTCTGGCTCATCTTGGTGGGGTGCCTTTCTTTTTCTTAAGAGTCACAGCAGAAATCAAATTTTATCAGTTTAAATGGAACGATATTTTAGGAATTTTGATCTGGCCACCAGAGCATCTTTTTTTCCTTAATGACAAGGGCTTAGCATCCGGCAATGAAGCCCTCAGTCTACAAAGAAAGCAGGAGGGTGGCTTTGGCCTATACCTTAGGTCATTAAAAGCACTGCAAAACTAGAACTTGTCTTATTTTTCTGTTTTCTCTCTAGGCATTTTTTAAATTCTGGGTATTTTTAACCTCAAAAATTAGACAGTGTTTTGTTTTAAATTAATTAGTGATATTTTATTTATTTTTTAAGAGAGATTTTTTTAATATTTATTTTTTAGTTCTCGGCGGACACAACATCTTTGTTTGTATGTGGTGCTGAGGATCGAACCCGGGCGGCACGCATGCCAGGCAAGCGCGCTACTGCTTGAGCCACATCCCCAGCCCAATTAGTGATATTTTAAACCTTCCAAAAACATGTCCATTTTACAAATAGATTTTAAACATTATTTTCAGGCTTTTTATAGAGATTATGTCCTATAAATGCAATTCCTTCCTTTATTTTATTTTTTAAAAAATTTTTGTAGTTGTAGATAAACAGAATGCCTTTATTTTATTTGTTTATTTTTATGTGGTGCTGGGGATCGAACCCAGTGCTTCATGCGTGCTAAGCAAGTGCTCTACCACTGAGCCACAATCCTGGCCCTCCTTCCTTTATTTAAAAAAAAATGTATTATTATTTATTTATTTGAGTACTGGGAACTGAGCCCCGGTGGAGGTGCTTAACCATTTAGCCATATTTCCAGCCCTTTTTCATATTTTATTTATAGACGGGTCTCGATGAGTTGTTTTGGGGCTATCTAAGTTGCTGAGGCTGGCTTTACAATTGCAATTTTCCTGCCTCAGCCTTCCGAGGCCCTGGGATTATAGGCATGTGCCACCACACTCTGCTCCCTCCTTTATTCTTTAAACATCACCTTGATAAGGAATGCCCAGGTTTCTGTACCTGCGAGTTTTTCAGTATTGCAAAACTAAGACTAGTTTTGTTTTTTCCTTTTTAAACTACCACTGACAGCAGGGTATGATGCTGCACATTTGTAATCCCAGCTACTTGGGGAGGCTAAGGCAAGGAGGATTGCAAGGTTGAGGCCAGCCTCAGCAACTTAGAGAGAACCTGTCTCAAAATAAAAAATGAAAAGGACTGGGAATGTTGCTCAAAAGTAGAGCATCCCTGAGATCAATACCCAGTACCAAAATAAAACAAACCCAGAAACCTACCATTGACTGAATTCTCACTCTGAGCCAAACACTATATGCCAAGTACTTTACATGTATTATCTCATTTCATTATCTAGTAATCCTGAGAACCGGGTAATATTGTTTCTATTTCTCACTTGTTTTTATACTTTTTTTCTCTTTCTCCTTCCTATTGTGTTTTTGTTTTATTTTCCTCCCATAATTTTCAAAGAAATCCCAGTGACTCGGGAGGCTGAGGCAGGAGAATCTCTAGCCTCAGAAACTCAGCAAGGTCCTAAGAGACTTAGTGAGGCCCTATCTCAAAAATAAATAATAAAATAAAGGGCTGGGGAATGTGGCTCAGTGGTTAAGTGCCCCTGGGTTCAACCCCTGGTACCAAAAAAAAAAAGAAGAAGAAGAAGAAAAAAAAGAAAAGTCTATAAGCCAGCCAGATGGTATACAGCTAATGAGTAAAGAAGGCAAAATTCAAGTCAGGTCTCTCTACTCCTACTTTCAGGCTATGCCTTTGACTTTGCTGGGGAGCATTTTCCCTTAATCTTCAACTTGAGTGGGAGTAGCTTGTAATTCTGGTCATAAAGGTATGCCTCCCTCAGTTTAAACATTAGCCTCTATAAGTGATTTGAGGCAGTTCAGTAGTGATAATCTCCCCTTCTCCCTCTCTAAACAGAGTGTTTTGTTTTTTTTTTAAATTGAGTTGTCCAACACTGGCATCTACATATGAACTAAGATCTCTGTATAATGTTTTGCAGATGCCTTTACCACATTTAGTTTGTACTCATTTTTCTTGGAGAACTCAGCTCATTTTTTGTTGTTGTTGTTGTTCAAACATATTATTTTCCCTTTTGAGGTTAAGTAATCTATCACAAGTTGGTAGACTTCTAAAAATTTGGATGCGGAAGAACCATGGAGATCCATTCTCCCAAATCCATCACTGGATGGGCAAGATTGGGTGGCCAGTGGCTACGGTCATCCTGGGCTAGAAAAACTTCAGAGCCTAGCAAGTACTCAGGCAAGACAGCCTCAGTCACTCCACCTACAACTGAATACAATTCCACTACTTCCAAGGAGTTGTACACAAAGTCCACAATCAAGAAGAGATATTTAAATGGGTGTTTAAAATTTTCTTTTTAAAAAAGAAAAAAAGGGGGGCTGGGGTTGTGGCTCAGTGGTAGAACACTTGCCCGACATGCATGAGGCACTGGGTTTGATCCTCAGCACCACATAAAAATAAATAAAATAAAGGTTTTATGTCCATTCACAACTAAAAAAAAAATTAAAAAAGAAAGAAAGAAAGTAAAAAAGGACTCATACCAAGTGGCAGATGAGCTGACAGCTCTGACCACTTTCAGGAGCATCCTTGTGACACTGCTGCCACCACACTGCCATCTGGGCTATGGCAGCCGGCCAGCCTTGCCCAGGGGAAGGTGGCCTCTGACCAGGCTCCCGCCTGGTCTCTAATTAGAAAGGGACATTTGGCTGCAGACTGGCCTCCAGGTGTTCAAAAAAACCTATTTGTCCTCCCTTGGTCAGATTTCTGCCCAATCTCTGCTCTTCTCAGACATACAAGGGAAAATCAGAGAGAGGGGACCAGGATGTCTGGAAGCCCAAGTGGAAAAGAACCAGAATGAGGGGCAACATGGATGGAACTGGAGGACGTTGTATTAAGTGAAATAAGCCAAATAGAGAAAAAAAAAAAAACAGTACTGCACCATCTTGCTTATACTGTGGAATTAAAAAAAAAAAAAAAAAAAAAAAAGATCCCGAGGAGTAGCAAGCAGAATGCTGTTACCAAGAGGCTGGGATGGCAGGGGGAGGTAGGGGTTGGTCATAGGTGCAAAGTTAGGATAGGAGGAATGTCCAGGTGTTCTCTTGCACAGTAGGGTGACTATGGTTAATAATGGCGTATGGTATATTTTGAAATCACTAGAAGAGAGGATTTTAAATGTTCTACCACAAACTGATCATGAATGTTTAAGGGGATAAACATGCTAATTAGCCTCATTTGATCATTCCATCTAATGGAGTGATCATTTATATACTTATATCAAAACATCACATTGTATCCCATACATATTGTACAATTATTATGGGTCAATTTAAAATAAACCTTTTTAAAAAACTCCTACCATAGGGGCTGAGGCTGTAACTCAGTGGTAAAGCACTTGCCTCGAATGTGTGAGGCACCGAGTTCCATCCTCAACACCACATAAAAATAAGTATGTATGTTCATCTACAACTAAAACAAAACAAAACAAAACAAAACAACACACACAAAAAAAAACTCCCACCAGAACAGAGAAGGTGGGTGGTTATATTTAAGCTAAGCTGGCTTTCAATGTCACATGACTTACTCAGGAATGAGTGGATAAATGAAGGCCTTGGTATTATAAAATTCATCCTTTAAGCTGGGCATAGTGGTGCACACTGATAATACCAGCAACTGGGGTAGCTGAAATAGGAGGATCAAAAGTTCAAAGCCAGCCTCATCAACTTAGTGAGACCCAGACTCAAAATAGAAATAAAAAAGGGTGGGGATGTGGGAATGTGGCTCAGAGGTAAAGCATCTCTGGTCTCCCCTCCCCTCCAAAAAAAGAAAAAAAAGAAAAAAATATCCCTCCTTTCCTTGCATTCCAAATTCCTATTTGGGACATTTGTCTAGATGTATAAGGCACTGAATTCAATTCTCAGCACCGCATATAAATAAATAAAGTCCATTGACAACTAAAAAAAATATTTTAAAAAATTCTCATTTTGAGAGAACAAACACAAATAATAGTCCCTAAGGGACAATAATAAAGATTTGGCCATTAACTATAGACCAATGTCTCCTTCAAAATTTAATGAATGAGGATGGGAGATGGAGCTCAGTGGCAAAGCAAGCACAAGGCCCTAGGTTTTATCCCCAGCACTGAAAAAAAAAAAAAAGAGGGAAAATTGTTTTCCTTTACTATTATAGAATATTTAAGGTGATTAGCTCTTGGCTGAGTTTTCTGCCTTCATGTTTATAACTGAATTTCTCAAAATGAAAAGCATGCATTTCGTTCAGCGTAGACACCAAATTAATCATAGTACATTATTCTAATATATTTAACAATGTGGCTATTCTCATTTCCCATAGAAGAAGGTGCACAATGAAGACAATCCATGAAAACCAGATATACTATCATGACAAGGACAGCAGGACCAGGCAGCAGAGGTCAAGAAACATCAGGCTACCCAATCATGGACGAAAACGATTTTTCAGAAGATACAACTTATAAGCAACAGGAGGATTTACCTTATGATGGTGATCTCTCCCAAATGAACAAATGCAATGATTACAATTTTACCGGAAATACTAACACCCTCAATGTTATTCCAATAGGAGATGACCCTAAAGTAAAGGCTGCCCATGTTGAAACATACAGAAATACAGCCAGGGCCATGACGTGGGATAAAGTTACTGAAAATGCTACCAATAAAAAGTGTGATAAAGAGAATCAACGCGCCATGACTCTTCATGTTCAAGCTACTAAAGGAGCTGCTCCAAAGTCAAACATTTCTGATATTTTACTCCATCATCTTTCTAAAGAGCAATTACTAAGAGTTCAAGGTATTAACTTTGAAACTCTCCCAGAGGTACGTAATGGTGACTGTTTTGATGAAGCAGCTTTTATTAAAAATATTATTTCACGTTATGTTAAGAATTCTTTCCCCAAAGCACAAACCTCAGAATTCATTGACCAACTCAACCCCAAAAGAGATGTCAAAAAAAGCAGTAAGCCCACCTGTTCTCCTATCATGGCAAAAGAAAATACCTGTGATTTAGAAAAGCCAGTTGTGACTGCAAATAGCAACCATCACGAAAATTTAAATTTTCTAACTAAAGCCAAGGGTCCACAGGATGAACAAAAAAGTTGCCAACGGCAGACACCCCAGAAACAGTTGACAGAAAAAGCAACTTCAAGCAATGACTTCAAATATGGAAAAGGTCAAGTTCATTGCCAGCTGCCAGATTTCTCTAAAGGTGCTCTCAAAATGAAAATCCCTAAAAATCACATCATGAATAAGTCACTTACAATGACTAAGCCAGCCAGTTTTTCTCCTAAATTGAGAAACAAATCAGCAATCATGCAAGATATTTTAGAAACCATGTTTAGGTCAAAGTATGTTGAAAAACAACATCTGGAGCAGAAAGGGGAAAGTACAAAACCTTCACAACGAATGCAGGTAAATGAAAAGAGTCTCCTGTAAATATATACTGGGACTACTGGTCATCTCTGTCAGGGTGGGTTTTTGGAGGGTGAGTAGGGCTTAGTTCTGGTTCTGAGGTCTCATTCAGCTCCCTGGGACCATGGGGGCGAGTGACTTGACCTTTCAGAAGCTCAGTGGTATTCTCAAGAGAAGAATCATGGGCCAAATATACAACAGCATACAAGAGGGTGAAATCCAAATTCCTCAAGTGGGGCATCCCCTTTAGTGTCTTACTTCATCCTAACCTTCTAAACTCAGCTTCAGTTACCTGGCCAGCCTAAACCTCTTCTAAGCCTCTGAATTCTCTGAGCTCCTACCTTCCATGAAGCATCCCATCTCCTCTTGCCAAAGACCTGCTCCTTTTCATGGTCTCCTTCAATTTCCCCTGGACCGTGTAAATTTTCAAATCTGCAAAATCACAGTTATTTCTGTCCTTTGCTTATTTAGTACTTTTGTCAGAGCTTTTATCTCAGCCTGATTTGGATCAAAATAATTTAGAGGTAACTGTTTCTCCCACTCGAGTTTAAGCCTCTAGAGGGCCGCAACATTATCTTCGTCTTTCCATTGTCTAATTTCCATACAAACGTTGTCTAACAAACCATACAAACTGTTACATTGGTAACCACTTAATACAAAACGTTGTTAATGCTTAATCTATGCCTTTTCCCATTGCCCCACATCCCCTCTTCTCATCCCTTACCCAACTTTTCAATGTGATGAGGCTGAGGATCTCATCATTTGAGGGAGAATAGTAAGGCAAATTCACATTAATAATTAAAGTAGGCGGGGTGCTGAGGCATCCACTGTAATCCCCATTACCCGAGAGGCTGAGGCAGGAGGATCACAAGTTCAAGGCCAACCTTGGAAAGTTAGCAATACCCTATCTCAAAATAAAAAATAAAAAGGATTATGGATATAGATAAGTGGTAGAGTGCTTGCCTTGCATGTGTGAGGCCCTAGATTCAATCCTTAGTACTGGGAGAAATAAAAAGATCAAAGTGAACATTTTAGTTCTTTTGTCACTTTCCCAGGACAGTATGAAATTTCTTTTCAGCCTTTTATGAAGAGCATCCTGGACTGAATAGCAGTGTCTGCCTGTTTCAATTTCCATCCCTCATTTAACCCAGCACTGGGAAATTTGAACCAGAACCTCCCAGACACAACCTGGAGCCAGCAGCCAACCTGGTGGTGACAGCAATGCTTCCCTAAGTCTTGGAGAAATCTATACCTTTATGGTATTGGGAAGTTTCAGGGTTACTTGTTCTTTTTTTTTAATTGGTGCATTATAACTATACATAATAGTGGGATTCATTATGCTTTATTTGTACATGCACATAATTTGGTCAATCTCATTACTCAGTACTTTCCTTTTTCCTTCCTCCTCCCTCCCCCAATCTTCTTGCTCTACTTTACTGATCTTTCTTTTGTTATTATTTTAATTAGTGCATTATAATTATATAGCTAAGGCAGGATTCATTATAGTATGTTCATATGTGGATATAGCATAATTTGGTAGATTTTGTTCCCTAGTATTTCCCCTTACCATACTTTCCACCCCTCCTTTCTAACCCCTTCCTCTACTCTACTGGTGTCCCTTCTATTTTTGTGAGATCCCATTTATTTATTTATTTATTTATTTATTTATTTATTTATTTTTGCTCCCCCCGCCTAGAGAAAACATTCAATCCTCGACTTTCTGAGTAGAGATTAGTCACTTAGTTCAATCCATTTACCAGTAAATGCTATGATTTCATTCTTCTTTATGGCTGAGTAAAACTCCATTATGTATATATGCCGCAGTTTTTTCCATTCCTCTGTTGATGGACATCAAGGCTTGTTCCATAACTTGCCTATTGTGAATTGTGCTGCTATAAACATGTGTATGCATGTGTCACTATAGTATGCTGATTTTACTTCTTTTGAATAAAAAATACAAAGGAGTGGAATAGCTGGGTCATATGGTAGATCCACTCCTAGTCTTTTGAGGAATTGCCACACTGCTTTCCAAAGTGGTTGTACTAATTTTCAGCCCCACCAACAAAATATAATTGTATGATTTTCCCACACATCCTTGCCAGCAATTGTTATTTGTATTCTTGATGATTGCCATTCTAAATGGAGTGGGATGAAATCTCAAGGTAGATTAATTTGCATTTCTCAGGGTTCCTGTTCTACTTGGAGGATAACATTAATATTGTTCCCAGTTCTCAGTCTCCTGTGTTAGTAGAAGGAGAATGGATATCAGGCTCATCTCTCTCTCTGGCAATGGGAGTTTGAGATCAGGCATCTGTTGTTGTTTTTTTTTTTTTTTTTTTTTCAGTCCTGTCAATTCAAGCTAGAGAACTGAACGCTCTAGGTTTCACATCTAGCCTATATTGGCGATATTCATAATGACCACAGCCTACTTTTACCACTGCCATTTCATTCTCTGGCCTCTGTGTATTTCTGAGCTTTATGCTGGGAGCAATGGGAAGACCCTCAAGGTGATTCATTGTGGGATTAAAACAGTTAGCCTGTGGTGAGCATAAAACAACCACTATCTTGACACATATTTTGGAGTGCATGGCACATTATAATTCCTAGAACATGTTTGGTGTTAGTGAAAGGACCACAACAGAGCTGCTGGAAAGATCAACAATGGTTCCTGAGTCATGGAGCTTACAGTATAATTTTAGGAGAAATGTTTGGTTATTCCACCTTCTGGTATCAAACATGATCATAACGATAGCTAAGATGTATTGCTGAATGCTTAGCACATGCCTGATATTATAGTAAATATTTAACATTTAATTCTCATAGTAGATTCTATTACTATCTCCATTTCATCACCATGAAATTTGATGCTTACAGTGATGAGGCAATTGCTTGTGTCACCTAGCAAATTAGTGTCATAGTGGAATCCAACCCAAGCACCATGGTCCCAGCTCTTGACCACAGAACTGGGCTGCCTTCATGATGACCAGAACACATCAGATGTCCTGGAGGCAGCCCATTGATCATTCTGAATAATGGTGTAATTGGTCAATTGCAACAGTAATGTTTTCTTATTCTTTAACTATGCAGATGGAGCCCTCAGTACACAAACATCAAGACTTTCTTACAGGTATAGAGTTTTAAAACTTCTTTGTTTTAGAGTTTCAAAGACTATGTTGAATAGAAATGGTGAAAGAGGGCATCCCTGTCTTGTTCCAGTTTTTAGGGGGAATGTTTTCAATTTTTCTCCATTTAGAATGATGTTGGCCTTGGCTTAGAATAGATAGCTTTTACAATGTTGAGGTATGTTTCTACTGTCCTTAGCTTTTCTAGTGTTTTGAACATAAAGAGGTGCTGTATTTTATCAAATGCTTTTTCTGCATCTATATGATTTGATATGTGTTTTGAAAATTTCTAGAAGAGAATAGCAAGGCTGATTACTGCCACAGATTTCTGTTTTCAGTACTTAATAAGATGGAGATGAGTTGAAACGCATGAATGCCAAAACTTGTTCTTTCTTATGTAGAAATAAAAACTGAGACACATTTGTTGAAGTTGTCATCCGCCTCTCAGAAAGAGCCCTTCTCAAGTACTTACATATTTCAAAAGCTATCCCAAGGCAAGCAGATGTGTCAAAAGTTAAAAGAACAGACTGATCAACTGAAGACTAAGGTGATACTTTTAAAACTTATTATATAGAGGCTGAGCGCCTGCTTTGCATGTGTGAAGTACTGGGTTCGATCCTCAGCACCACATAGAAATTAATAAAGATACTGTGTTTTATTTACATCTAAAAATTTTTTTAAAAACTTATTATAAACATTAGAAATAAACAAATTTAAACACTGGAGACCATGCTATTAATGAAATATTATGTGTTTTTATTGCAGGTACAAGAATTTTCCAAAAAAATAAAACAAGACCCTTTCTGCCATTTGAAAGAAAAAAGAATGGTAATGAATTTGATTTAGCTTTTTTAAATCTTTTTTTAGAGAATTTGACATGGGTAAATACAAATGAATTCATGGTACCATGTTTTCTCTACAAGTGGAATGTTCTGGTAGGAAATGTTTGGCTGAAGATTAAACTGTCTTAGTTTATGGGGCTAAAAGAACTTAGAATTCTGTTTCTGTAAGAATTTAGCTCTCTTTCCTTTCCAGGGGATAGATACATCACTGACCTCACTAGTCAACTCATAATAAATCTGAGGTATGCTCAAGAGAAGAACATGGAAGCCATTATAAAGAGGGTGCCTGTCCTAATTGATCGGTCCTGGTGGATTTAGGTTATAAAAATTGCTAGAATCTGGCAACTCAACATTTAAGACTTTGAAAACTTAAGATCAAACTTGAGGCAATGCTTTTCAGGTCAAAATCTTTTACTTTCACACCCTTGATTGTTGTTAAATTTGATCACTCATTTATGTTGTCACTCTAACAGCCTTGTTATCAGTGACAGGGTTATGGGAAACGTGTGGACAATGAAGCAACAGGCCGAGGCTGGGAGAACCATAGATGAGCTGAAGTGGAAGATGTAGTTCAGGTCATCAAGTCAGCAGCAAGGCAGGTAGTGGGGAGTCCTGATGTGTGCACAAGCAAGGTCCAGGACGGGCTGTGCTGTAGAAACCTAAAAGTACGGGCCAAACCCAGGAGAACCCAGATGCTAAAAGGTACCATGGATTATCCATTTACTCATCATATTAATGAAATCATTCATTCCTTCAAAAACCATGCACCAGGCCTTAGGGATTTGGAAATGAAGAAATTCTTCCTTTTCAAGTGGCTTATAGTCTCCTACAAACAGGATGGTGAACCGATTGTTAAAAATGCACCTTGAGAAAGGTTACAGATGATTCTCATGGCAGCCTAGGAGAAGCTCCTCCTGGCTATTGAATGCTTTGGAAAGCTTCCTGGAAATGACTTTTAACTTGGTGTATCGCAAGAGGAAGAAGGGTGAGTTCAGCAGAATAGGAGGCAGAGAAGTCTTCTGGAAGAAAGGAAACCACAGATGCAATAGTGTGAGGGCAAAACCTGCCTCTCGTGTAAATTTGTCAGACAGAGCTCAGTACATCATGAAAGGCCTTGAAGCAATGCTCAGGAGCTTAGATTTTTTTTTTCCTGAGTTTGAGTGATAGGGCAACATGGAAGGATTTAAAATTGAGAAATGGCAGGCACCAAGCACTATGGTAGGCATAGACCCAATGCAGGACGAGTTTGAGGGCTTGAAGGCTGATGTGAGGAAGATGAAGAGGGAGACAAATCTATGTGTTCAAGGTAGTGGTGGCAGATTAAAGGAGTGAATAAAGAAAAGGAGGCGTCTTGGATGAATTCCAGATTTCTGGCTTGGGTGACACAAAGGTCAGGAACAAAAGTGGAAGATCCAGTTCAGAAGGGGTGTGGAAGGCAGGCAGAAGGCAAGATGTCAAGCGTAGTTTGGACACTTTTGAGTATGAAGTTCCTAGAGGACATTCAAATGAGGATGTCCAGTAGGCCCTTAGTGTGATGGGTCTGGCCCTCAGAAGCATTTGGGCCAGAAATGTAGATTTGGCACAGCTGTGAGTTGACGCTATGGAGGGATTGAGGTTTTCCAGGTCAAGTGGGAAGTGAAGAGGGTCAAGGATAGAGTCACTGTTCAGCAGCAAGCAGAGGGCAGGAGGAAAAAAAAACAGAGAGGCCCAAAAAGGAGACTGAAGAGGAAAGACCCAAAAGATCAGGAGCAGATCTGAAGAGGAAGAGCTATTGAAGCCCCAGGAAGGAGGTTTTTAAGAAGTAAGGAGTTAGGGCTGGAGTTGTAGCTCAGTAGTAAAGCTTGCCTAGCATGGGTGAAGAACTGGGTTTGATCCTCAGCATCACATAAAAATAAGTAAATAAAATAAAGGCATTGTGTCCATCTACAAAAAAAAAAAAAAAGATGTAGGAAATTGGGCCACACCATTCAAAGAACAAAAGAAAACAAGATGTATATTGGTCTGGGGATATAGCCCAGTGGCAGAGCACTTGCCTAGCATGTGCAAAGTCCTGGGTTCAATCCTCATCACTACAAAATAAAAAGAAAGAAAAGTTGAAAAATCGTCTATTAAAAAAAATGTGCATTGGATTTGGCAAGCCTGGTTTCACTGAGGTGGTGGATGGGAAGGCAAATTGCAGAGGCTAAGGATTAAATGAGAGATAAAGGAGATCTCTCAAAGGCCAGAGTTTGGGGAGCTTGCAGAACACAGAATTTTAGAGGGCAGAACTGGTTTAAGGCAATAGCCTTCAGAGGCCTCAAGTCAGAGAGATTCTTCTGATGGTAGAGGGTAAGTAGAAATTCCTGCTGGGACAGGGAGAACAGAAAACTAGCTCCTGAAAGTTTCAGCCTGTGGTCTGAGCGTTCCAGGCCCATTTGGATCAGTGTTGGAAGAAGGCCAGACAGGGTGGAACCAGCCTTCTCAGCTTGAGCAGCACAATAATGGGAAGCATTTGGATTTTGGAGCAGACATCCTAGTTCTACTTATTGGTTATACAGCTTAGACATGTTGTGGCACCTCTCCCATCTCAGAATTGTTCTGAGAATGAAAAGAGATACAGTTATGTCTAGAAAACTGTGCCCTATCTTCTGGAATATAACATGATTTATAACTCCAAGATCCTAAATTAGAATTAATACTTGGCTTTCTTTTCTTCTCATCCTCTGGCCTTTGAATACCTGATTCCCTCTCCTGGCTTTAACTGCCATTTATTTTCGTGCTATAGATTCCTAAACCATTGTTCTTAGCTTTTTTTTTTTTTTTAATATTTTTAGTTGTAGATGGACATGATACCTTTATTTTATTTATTTATTTTCATGTGGTGCTGAGGATTGAACCCAGTGCCTCATAACTTCCAGGCCAGTGCTCTACCACTGAGCCACAACCCCAGCCCCTAGCTTTTCATGTATAGTTCCAGCACTGCTGCGTGTCTTTCTTGGTCTCCTGCTCTCTCTACAACTCTAGTTCAGCCTTGATATCTTCACTCAAACTTGCTAGCCTTCTCCGATTCTTCATTTTACTCAAATCTATTACATTCTTTCTACCTCCCAACCCAGAAACTCTCTAGTTTGTTAGATTCTTAGTACCAGGATCTCTTCCTGGCAGGGAATAGATGGCTGGCTCTAATGGGGTAACCGAGGAGAGTTTAATAAAGGCCTTCTTTTACAACAAGATTAAGGAAAACCAATAAAGGATGAGAAAGCCTCTCACAGAAGGAATGTGGGGAGCTGCTTCACCTGCAGGCTTAAAGGAGCAGAGGAAAACCAGGCACCGGAGCCTACAGGGAGAGCTGTAGCTGTAGGAATAGTGGACAAGCTCTGTGGCTTTTGATAGACTGACATTAGCCAGTCTATGCAGGAAGAAGGAAAATCAGGGAAATAATGACTCTCACTCCTACCTCATTGTCTCCACCTCCTCTCTCCTGCTGCTGCCAACTGTTGGCTGGAAACAACTGAAGCCAGGGTAGAAAAGAGCCTGTTGATACAGTTGACTCAAAGTCAGCCCCCAGTCTGGGGCACAGAGGAAGAGAGAGGATGAATACAGGGAGGAAACGGAAAACAGCCACCAAACTTGCCATTTTCAACCCTATGGCCAATATGTTTCTAAACTCTTGTCTATTTGTTAATGTTAACAAGAATGCATAATAGTAGCAGCTATTATCTTTTGTATATGTATAGATAGCACCTGACTTAGGATGGTTTAACAATATTTCAATTTTATGATGATGCCAGGTAATACCCATTCAGTAGAAATCATGCTTTGGATTTTGAGCTTGGATCTTTCCCTGGCTAGGGTCATGCAGTAAGGATACTCTCTCAGATGCTGGGCAGCTCAGAGTTAGCCTGCAATCACGAGAGTAGACAGCCAATACTGTACAGTAGTCTGTGTTCAACAAATCACATGAGATATTCAACACTTTCCTTACAAAATAGATTTTTGTTTTAGGGATTTGTCCCAACTGTAGGCTGATGCAAGATTCTGAGCACATTTAAGGTAGGCTGGGCCAGGCTCTGATGTAGTGAATGCTTTTCTACATGTGATATTTTCAATTTACAGTGACTTTTTCAGGATGTAGCCCCATTGTGAGCAGAGGAACACTGGTACTGTGCTCCTGGCATGGTTATCTTATTTAATTTTCAGAAGGTGGGAGCTATTATATTAATTTTACAGATGAAAAATTGAAGTTTCAAGAGTTTGAGTTAACTCAAATAATTCAATTAGTAAGGGACAAAGTCTGAACTTGAACCCTGTTTTGTCTGCATTGTAACCTCATTGTGCAATGTTCCCACCCTTGGCAACATAGCTTCAATTCTTCCTTTAATCTCCATTTTCATGAATACTGCCTAGGCTAGGCTTCCCCGAGCATCCTTTAAATCTGACTTCAGTCTTACTTCCTCCATTGTGTCTTGGAGTCAAATACACAGTCTCTCTTTTCAGCAGAATAAAATCATTTGTACTAGGACTGTTCCTGAGATAGTTTTTGAATCTCATGCCTCAGGCCTAGGGTCAGACATAAGCAGGACTCAGAGAATGTTTAGCACCTGGGGATTTGGGTCAGAAGCCTCTACATATCTTCAAGAGAGGATCCTGACCTGCAGTGTTTAAACATTCATTTAGATTCATTTACCAAGCTGCCCCAGGTGACTTCTGCAAGACCCACCCACTTTTCTGGCTAAATTTTTGCTATTCCTTCCCCATCTTACCCTCCAGCTGCCATAGACTGAAACCCAGGTCCTCTAACTTCAGATCCTTTTTCAGATCTATGTGACTTCAGACATAATTTCTAGAGCTCCAGTTTTCTTCCTCTACAAAACCAGGATAATGAAGTCTCCTTTGCAAATTCACAACGTTGATGTGAAGATTAAACAAGATAAAGTGCCCTATAAGTGAAAGTCATTCTGCAAAATACAGGATAATGAATATGCCACTCAGGGGGTTCAGAGGCCT